ACACATGCTTCAAAATAAAAAAAAAAATCCCTTCTTACAGGTGAAAAGTAAAGCTGGAGAGACATATAACTTTAATGTAACTTTGCAAAGCATAACACCAACAAAACAAAACAAATTAACACATGCAGAATATTGCATAATGGTTATGGTGAAGCTATCAGATACCATTAGTAAGTCTGGAGATAATGAGCAAGACACTGAAGCAACGTCATCGTACTTCAGGTCACTAAGGCCTGAAGCTGTACTGGAAGAGTAAGCTCAAAGAGATAAAAAGCAGTTGCAATGCAAAGGATAGTTGTTATGTGGTTGAAGCATAAGTCACAGGTAGCATGCAGTCTGAAACTAGCTTGCTGTTGAGAATCTCATATTTCCCTGTGTACTTGTCTACTTCAGTTACTTATTCTATGATTGACTACACAGTAGAGTTGCTTCCAGTTGTACACTCAACAACTTCAATCTGCCCATTTGCAGTTTTCTAAAACGTCCAGCCCTTACATCCCCAATATAAAACAGAGGAGACCTTCTAGCATGGCAGGGGTAGGGGGAGGAAGGGTGACAGGAACGAAAGCTGAGGACAAACGGGACAGAGACGTTTTTAGCTAGGTCACAACAAAACAGCATGAAGCTTCCTGAGGCACAGCAAAGCCGTTGTGTTTCCATGAGGTGGAAGTTGCATCCGTACCCACTTTCCACGTATTGCTGCGGTTTTAAGTCTGAGCACGTTAACAGACGGCAACATATAGGCAGCAGTCGTTCTCATCGAAAAACAAAACACGCGGAAAATGCATTTCACAACTTGCGCTTAACGACGCGGCTCCTCCAGACCCAGCTAAACTTCTAAGTGCATGCGTGGCCTCCTGCTTTCTTTTTCCGCTGGAAACGCCATGTCTCACCCGTGGCCAAACAACCCTCCCCACCTCCTGGGCATACCCACGTTTGGGAGGGAAACGAGCCGAGGGAAAGTGCACCTTCCCTCCGCCAAGGTGGCGACGGGCCGCTCCTCCCGGCGCCCGTCCCCGGGGGCGGCAAGGGGGCAGAGGCGGCAGG